CAAACAAACAAATATTATTACCTCATCAGTTATACAGGCCTAAGGTTATGGAAGACTTTGTTTGTTGAAGAACCCCTGGAATGGAATTTTCAGACTTATACTCTATATATTTTAAGGAGTTTTATATGTGAAAGCTTGTTTGCCTGGTTTATCAAATGTATGTAATTTAGTAGCATGAATTTCGCGCAAAGCTACACGAGGGCTATCTGCGCTAGCCGTCTCCCTAATTTAACATTGTAAGACTAGAGGGAAGGAAGCTAGTAATCATCAACCACCGCCAACGAATAGTCGGATTGACCGTCACTTTATAACGCCCCCACGGCTGAATGGGCGAGCATGTTTGGTGTGATGGGGATTCGAACCCGCGACCCACAGATTACGAGTCGAGCGCCCTAACCAACCGGGCCCTGGATGAAGCTATTTATTGGATAATACATTTAAAAACCTTTCATCTCTATCAGTGAGACATGATCATGTGCAACATTTGAAGTACGAATACAATCAACGTTTAACATGTTACTTCACTCTTATAGCTCAAGGAAGTTACGTTGTATTTGAACTTTTTTGTACATATGTAGTTTTTAAAATTAATAACTTACGTGGTTTATGCAAAATAAGTGTGTTAAATAATACTTCCTTAAAGTGAAAACTCTGAAATGGTTAATTAACCTATACACGCGAGAAGTTCATTAAATAAAATTGATATGTTTATAAAACGTTTTTAGTCAACTTTTTGTGCAATATTAATGACAATGGCAAAACAAACTTTATAATTAATCTAACATAACTTTTATGAAAAAACAGCAGGTTTAATCATCATGAAAGTACAATAAAATTTACGTTTTGAGCAATCGGCAGGTATTTAGAAGTTTCCCGAGCGTGAGACATTCTTCTCAGTTACTCTACGTATAATGAATAAAATAACATTCAAATTACATGTATTTGTGCGTTATATCTTGGTTGTGATTTTTAAGTACTTTTTTGTTAAGTTTGTTATGGGTCTGAGAAACAAAAATTGATACAAATACTTTGACAGTTTAAAACTTTAAAGTTGTTTTCACACTTAACCTAATACATCTATAAGAGATGTTTGTTAGTTTTAATACATGTTGCATTATGATACATATTTTTTAATAAATAAAACAAATTTTGTAACACAAAAAGGAAATGGTCAACCCACATTGCATAAAAAAACAGCAGTACTGGTAAACAATAGCGTAATACTAGGGAAGGGGAGGTGGGTGAGAGAGAGACGACTACGAATCGAGAAATAATAATTGAAATGCAGAATTGGATCTTAACGAATATAGTGAAATATGTTCATTATTACGACACTCTTTTTAACATCATTACTTAAGTGCTTCTGTACATCTCGTGATTAAGCTTCCTGCTATTGATCCACGAATAAGAAGTCTCATAAATGCTGAACAAAGCTTTGGGAGTTGTTTAATGATGAATAAAAGAATGACGGCACTTTTTTTTTTTTTTACGATAACGCATTGGTGAAATGTATGTATATTAAAGTTTTCCTTTAACATGGTGTTCAAATAACCTTGATATCTGATCGGCGCAAGAACAACTGTTTACGTCAAGGCAAACTAGTTTTGTGAATCCCGCTAATCGAATATCATATAACGTTCTTCGAGAAACAAAAATTTGCTTCAAATATTTTTATACATGCATGCAACATCGAAATTAATGCAAAGTAGTCAAATCGACCAGCATACAAAAACTATTCACATCAGCTAAATAATCTTAAAACAATAAACCTTTAAAGAAACGACACATTACAGGTGCTTGTTTTAGAATTTTATCGCAAAGCTACACGGAGAGTAACCTGCACATAGCTATTGGTAACTAAAAACGTATTTGTTATTTACCATTTGTACAGTGATAACGGTCCATCAGGTTACCTTGACATCATCACGAACATAAACTAAGATGACTGAAATCGTAGTATATGAAATGTTTACATGTAATGTATTGTCAATATGCATGGCTTAAACTAGTCTGTAGACCAAAATGTTAACGAAAGTTTGACTTTAGGAGTATGTATCTGTTAATCACACTACTTTGAAGGTTATGGGTGGGCCATTTAAAACAAAAAAAAAAATGTTTCCTGAAATATAACTTATTCTGACAGTTAATAATGTTAAACTTAATTTAATATGGTTCTAGTCGTTTAACTAACTACTGTTATTAGTGTTAATGACTGAAACAATAAACTTAATCATGTTTGTGTTTAGCCAAAACTGCAAAGAATATGTACTTTCTCTGTCTTTAAAGAACTATACATATCTACATACTGATTTGTGGAAACTTGCATTTTTATAAACCTGATGTTCTCCAGCAGTTTTAACAAAATTACTGACACAATAAAAAGCTCAGGGGACAAAAAAAAAAAACTTAAGAAACTTAAATGTCTTCATATTAAATTATGCTTTTACAAGAAAAAAAAAAGTTGTCGTAAAAATTAAAAAACACCAAGGTTGAGTGGAATATGAATTATTTTATTTCTTGTCTTGGATATTTCTGTTGTAATTAATTATAAACAAAATATCAACCACACCAATTAAACATAAGTGCCATATAAGTTTATCTTTGGGTACATAATACATCATTTAAAATAGTTATTCATGCATAAAAAATTAGGAACAGAAATTTGCCAAAGAATTATTTTGCCACAAAAGTTGTTAAAATTGTCTTAATGTCCCTTAAGTGCTTAATTATTATTCATGTTTTTAACTTTTAGCTTAACCTTTATTAATCACTCTAACCTTATGTTCAAGTTTTTAATCAATTTATCTTTTAAAGTTAGAAACAAATAAAAGAAGACAAAGTATATATATATATATATATATATATATATAGAGAGAGAGAGAGAGAGAGTAGTAGTTAGTAGACTAGTAGTAGTACTTACTTGTTTAGTTTCGTTTAGGTTTAAGTTAAAAAGTTTAAAACGTTAAAAAGTTAAAACGTTAAAATA